GCTGAGGCTGAGCCTGACCTGAAGGAAATCACAGGCTCTGCCTTAGAAAAGCGCTAAATGGCGCTGGCGTCGAAAAATAAATGTCATATTCGTGATCAGGGCATCAAACAACCCCATTATGCAGGTTTATCGATTTTGATAAAAAAGGGCGTGGCGCTCAATCAGCCCCTAGTGCTGCCAGATGGCGTCAGGGCTGAAAACTACATTCGGCATTCGTGATCAAGACATCGAATAACCCTACTATGCAAATTTACACCGAATTTGGTGAGAAAGGTGGCGGCGCCAAACTGGCGCCAATTTGGCGCCAGCGCCGAGAACGAGTGCTGTATCAGTGATCAGGACCATCAGTGATTACCTTTGTGGGCAAAGTTCGAGCAAAAATTTTTTTTGACTTTTTGGGGTTGTAATGGTGCCGGATATTCGTCTACATCGGTTTCTTGTACCATTCAAACTCCTTAGTGCCATGGTTTATCCGGACTTCAATATGCCTTCAGTGCACATATAGCCCTTGAACTGTGTTAAAGCATTGTTTGGTTATCATTGATCGATTTGGTCCGAGTGTGCGCCGTGCATTACGCTTCTACGCAGAGTGGTGGAAAGGTGTAACTTCTGATTTTAGGTGATTTTGTCCATGCAAGCAGATGTTTGTTAAGGTTTGGAAAGGACAATACGAAACAATTGCGATGTATTGGGATTTTTGGATTGGGATTTTTGGATTTGAGATGTATTATTTCGTCATCTACGTACTTACGAGTTCATGCTAACAATTGATATTGCTAATCAAACATTTTATATTTTGTGGTCTTCTTACATCCGGGTCCTCTGCAGCTTTCCGTCCGCTCCATCAAACTTAGCGATGACATTTTTGTGCTGTTTGGTGCTCACGACCGCTGCGTTTACGTCCCCTCCCCCTCAGCGGCCAAGTACGACCCTCCCATGGGTTTCGCACAACAATGCTGTGCCCTGTTCGCAAGTCACTGCACATGCTAAATCGCACTCAGAAACACAAGCACGTTTTCGAATGAAAGTCGAAGGCATGGCGCACCCTTCAAAAGCGAGCGCCAAATGCTCGAACTTTTCATTAGGTAGCTTGTTTTCGAGCGATTCTGAAGTTGAAAACAAAAAAAATCCACGAAAGCAATTAACCATAAACCTAGTTAAGCAGACAATCAATTTTCAGTATGGGCCATGCTGCTGAATTCTTTTCAGATTCATGAAATTCATGAACAACTTGGAAAGGTATCAAAGACAGTTGGCGGTCAAAAACCTGCGATGAAAAGCCTTCGTTCTTGATGTGCGGCTGCACGTATGCACTCATATATCCATGCAGCACCGCGGCCGCTTCATATCAATCCCTTCGCTTCATCATTTTACTTCGCAAATGAAGCAATACGAGCATCAGGTACGGTCGTCCATTTGTGGGCGGGCGGGCGCGGTGGGCGTCCGGGTCGGTATGTTGCAGCTTGATAGGGCCTTATAAGGGTACCTTCGCTAGAAAAGGCGCTACGCAGCGCCTGCTCAGGGGGATTCGGAGAACCGTTTAGCAGATTTGGAGGGCAGATTTGAAATCAGTGTCCAAAGACGCATCAGCCGGTATACATCTCATTTCAAATGGCCACTTCGACCAACCATCCTTTCCTGGTCAGAAGGATTCCTGGCTCTCCCCATGGATTCCATGCAGGCATGGACGGCGCCATCAATTTTTAAAAAACTGCCATAAAACTAGACTTCTTCAGCTGCCGACACCGTAGCGTTGAGTGGAAGACCACCACTTATCTATCAAAGGAATATGCAAATCTATTATAGATTCTAGGCAGTGAGTTTGACAGGTACGCAAGAAGTAAAGGCCTTAGTCATTTGTCATAAGTGGACCTTCTTGGTGAAATGCTGCATACCGCTCTTCTTTCAAGCAGCAGTGGTAGTTTGAAAGCCTAAGACGTGTTTTCATTCGCGCGAATAGATTTCGTACCCACTGAAAGAACTGTGCACGGAAGTTCGATAACCTCCCTGACAACACAGATGCCCTCTTCATCGCTGCTGGGAACTACTTGCAAACGTCGGAGCAGGAAAACCTAACTGAGGGGAATAACTCCCTTGAAAACACAATTGCTTGGGCAACTCGGCACGTAGGAGGGGAGTAACTCCTTTGAAAACACACTTACTGCTGGGCGGCTGGGCAGGTAGGCGGCAAAGAATGCTCGGTGTGAAAGTACCTTCTATACCGGAAGGCAGCAGGAGGCGTGGCTGCGTTCCATGCGGCTCTCTACTTCGAAATGTACAACTCTCTTTCGTCCAAGAGTGGCGTCTCTCACATCTTCTTGTTGTGGAACACCTGTGTGTGGTGCCGTCAGCCGGCCTCGAAAGGGAGGAGTCATTATTTGGTCGAAAAGGGAGTGGATCGATAATTTAACCCCCGGGTTCTTTTACTACACCTGAGTGCATCATAAATATGACTAGACAAATATGGAAGAATTGTTTATTATTCAGGTGCGAAAGGCCAGAAGCGAGCTGCATCGCTACCGCTTCATAGTTCGAGGACTGAATTTGGGTTGTATCTCCTTGACGAAAAGCCTCTTCCCTTCTTAAATTACTGGGTAAATTTGCCGCTTAGATAACTACGGAAAGGATGCATTTCCCTGACCACTATCTCCACATTCATGAAGTCAGATGTGTGGCTTTTTCCGAAGTAATGATGATCAAGCGATGATCACTCTGAGTGCCTCTTCTTTTAACTTTTCGTAAAGTTTTTGATTTTTTCTCACAGCTGTCAGGGAAGGTATATCACGGTTGCATAGCCCTCACCTCTGCTTTGCTTGCGCTTCCACCGCATAATTGGTATCACTAGCAGGGGTTATACCTCGGCAGAAGTGCTGCCCAGTACTGGGATTGCTGCTCGTTCATCCGTTCGAGGGCTATAATTCAGGGGAACACTTGTTCGGTAAGATAATATATTGAACTGGAAGTCAGATTCTACCTGCGCTTTCTTCTCCATGATTATTGTATAGGCCAAAAAGCTCTGTGCTCTCCTGTTTGGAAGTCTAACTTTATTGCTGCACTAGAAAAAATAAGAGAAGTAAGTATTTTCGTTATAATGAGCGGCTCTTCGTCATTCTCCCTTCACGTAATGGATGTTCCTCTCAGATTTTGCTTAGCTGCAAGTCAAAGAAATCGAGGTACAATGTTGGGCCAAGGAGTGTTGTGGATCCGCAGGGATGGGGTCATATATGGTTACAGAAGAAAAAGAAGTCGCATGTGTTCTTGAGAAGAAACTCCGAAAAGTGGTAGGAGGTTGGGAAGATTGGGAAGATTGTATGACTGGGCATGATGAGGGGTCGGGGTCGTATCAGAAGAGGAACTTTTAAGGGGATCATGTTTGCGAAAATTTTCCCCAGACCGGAACGTGCTCTGTGTGGGGAAAAACGGGAAAAAATAACAAATGATGATGAAGGGAACGGCAAATCGAGCCCTTCTCTCTGTCCGAATCTTAATACTAATAAACAACCCTGCTCTAATCCACAGTTCTTCTACCTTAGTATCTTGCTGAAAAGGAGGGCAAGTATGTAGTGTAGTGGCAAGTGGCCTGACTTAAACAGTAATGCCTGAATAGGCTTCCATCACAATCAGAGTGGTAGAAGCCTATTCAGAGCAGAGTTTCCCTCTTTCTGGTCCATGAAAGGGCCGAGTCGTATATCGGTTGGACCCTAGCAGTTCGTTGCGTAGGAAAACCTCACGGACCTCACGCATTCCTTGCGTGTTTGCTAAGCGCATAGACTACCTGCAGCCCTTCCACTATAATTATTTCTGAACAGCTTCAAAGTACTGCTGACATTCTACGGCAAAGAAGAAGGCGGGAAGAGAAAGCGCGCACCAATGATGACGTCGTTTCGCGATTCCGCAGTTTGACGCGGTTCCTTCAGAGACATCACGTGATCACCTGATAGAAGATTCCCTTTATTGTGCATTTTAACCCGGCCCTTCAATCATAGGACTTGCAACGCTTTTCTCAGCTGAATGAGTGACGAGCGCACCATTCATCGTAGCATTCTCGGACATTAGCAGCGCTCTCACCTTGGGATGAACGCCAGTGAAGAAAAAAATTGCTGCCTTTCGTCTAACTTGTTGTTCTGTTTTCTGATCCTTCCTCTCTGGTTCCCCTTCCATGCTCCAATGTCTCATGCATGTACTCGTTCAATGCTCTTCATAGCTCGACCTGCTTCCAGAAAAAGTGGGGTCTTACCTTAGATTACCAGCGAGGGAAGTCGTATTTTGGTCGCTCAGGGCACAGCATTCGATGGGGATTTGGGTCGAACCTGTACGACCCCCCCCCTTTTTTGGGGGTTCGGTACGACCCCCCCCTTTTTTTTGCCGTTCGGTTTTTTTCGCCTTAAATAACAATGAGAAACGACACGACTATGAAATTTACTTGTATGAAGGTGCCCCTTACAAAAATGACGACTTGAAGTCATGACATAATAGAACAATACAGAGATGATTGCAAACAAAAAACGGTACAATCGTATTATGAGAAACTCGTATGATGAACTTCTTCGATGGCCGTTTTGAAACACATGGTAATAATAACGATATATCGCGATTAAATTCAATGAGCATTCGTTTAACCTAAGGTGGACTCCCTCTCTGGGAGCGGCCATCAGCGACCACAGTGTTAACAACGTCTATTCCCAAGATTGAGGACGAGGAAAAGAGAAAGTTAGGCTTGTCTCACTACGTAACAGTTATACAAACCGCCGTAAAAATGCATTACCCCGATTATGTGGAGTACGGTAGCAGAATACGCATGTAATTGCAGATGTGACCGCAGATCATTCGGCAATTTTAGCCATGGAGCGAGAATTTTCAGCAAAGTAGGGTGTCTTTGAAGGACCATAACTTCCTCAAAAGCGGACCTGTGGGGAAGAGGAGACCGTATTCGTGTAGAGGAAGGATTGCACTTCCTAAAAGTACTGAAACGTTTATGAAGGTCGCAAAAATCACAGAGAAATCTGCCCATAGGGATTCCATGGGGAGTGAAGGGTTGAAGTTTAAGTTGAACAGGTTTGAACCAATATATTTTTTTTGTAACTCAACATTTCACAAATCTGAGAAACGGATCGAGTGTTTGAAGATTTTCTCTTTCTAAAAACCTCTTGAACTGTTTCTGAAGCTCTCGGGATTCATGAGATCTCGCTATGGGGATTTCTTGAGGAACACTCCCAGCTGCGCGAAAAACCCGTTTCCTGTGTACCGTTCCAAGTGAGCGTGTTCGAATAGCCAGGAACGCATGTAGAACGTATCCTGTGGTGGAGCAGGAGCAGGATATGGTTCGTTTAGCGCCGATCACGCCAACTTGGATGCGCCGCGCACTGAGGGCCGCGCAGAGGTGATGGGATGGTGCAACTTGTGCGTAATGTCTGTTCACGCGAGCAAATGTGTCTATAAGGTTCAGGGAGGTCCATGGCGAGCCTGTGCACTTGTTTACAGTGTTTTCCGTTGCGTATGATGGAACATGTCCCTGTCAACGCTGCCAGATTCGTGCTCCGCCAATCGCTGACTCCGATAAAGGAGACCAACTGCTGGAAAACGCCTATACGAACGATATGGTAGTCCTGTCGCTTGTCGAGAAAAAAACAGGTTGGCTCAGCGCCAAGCGCGACCGCGGACACGCCATATCATTGGCAGCGAACCAGAGTTTGAGTTGTACTGTTTAGTCACCAACGGACTTACGAGATAATGTCGACTTATTAATATTTGCAGTTATTTCGGATTAGTTTGATGAATGAAAGTTTTGTACTATTTTTTTGCATATCCGAGTTCTCTACAAAGCAAGTTTCGTTGTACAGGACTCAGCACATTGACAATTTGCGCTGCTCGTTACTGGCTGCCGCACTCACTACGACCCCCCCCCTCTCCTGGCGGCCAAATACGACCCCCCTGTTGGGGATTCCCCAACCAACGATGTGCCCTGTGGTCGCTGGAAAAAATAGCGCCGTATTTGCCTTCGAGAACAGTATTGTAATATATTTTCAGGTGTTGACTTTTATCGTTTTTCCTGTTTTGAGGAATACTATATCTACGCTGCACTACATACTACCCTCTCTCACCACCC